CACACACACACACACACACACACACACACATACACACTCCGCTTATAATCCCTCTGTTACCCGGACTTCGTATCCACACGTTACGATTGTCGAGGGCAACGGAAAACCACGTTCGTGAAGCGATTGTAAATGTTACGTAAATCCTACGGACAGTGACGCACTCAAAAGAAGAAATGTCGGTCACCGCCGCTGATTTGACACGTGCAACTGCCAGCATGAAACTGCATGAGTACCGTTTAAGTGATTATATCCTTTCCGCAATAGCCGGAAATGAATTACGAATGATTAGTCAGCTGTACTTCAATTAATCATCCAACGATTTTAACGAGAAACGAATATATGAAAATCTCGATACGTTTATCGTCAAGTGACGCCTACGATTCGCCTGGGCGTGTAATATATTAAAGCGAATTCAATTATCATCCAGAATCAAAGTTCAAAACTAGCCAAGTGGATTTTAATGTTTATCGGGAAGATCGATTGATCGTGTCATGAATGTTCTCCAGTTATAAATGAGTAAAATTAGGGGAAAACTGAAATAAAAGAAAAGAATGAACGCAGAGCTGTTTTCATAACTTGCGCACTTGGAATCCACATACGACAAGCTTACGATTGATCGTCATGCATCATATTCGCGGTGATGTCGCAAGACCGCGGTGAAAGTAGAACTTTTCCGCTCTGTTCGAACGAACGCGACGTGTAATTTGCACGCCATTACGTAAATCGTATTCTATCGCTATCATTATTTTGAAAACCGTAAGAGAACACGTGTTTCCCGCAACGAAAGTCTCGATAAACGGCTCATTTCGGATGTCTTTCTCTCCGCACGAACGCGACGCGATTGAAATTCCTCTTGTGTGGTGCACGCGCGTAATTACACGACGACGAAGGAAACGGGGACCTTCTGGGCGCAGGTTACATTCGTTTAAAGGTACTGTTTGTTGAAAGTAAACGTCGACGTTCAAAAATAACGTACGTACGGTATCCTCACATTCTCGTAATGACGTTCTTTACGTGGAGTCGACTTTTTAACAAAAACATCATTATTTTCTTATCATTTCCTAGTTTTTAACATTAAATATCTTCGCCATTAATCGTCAAATTAACAATTTGTTAAACCATAATCTATTTGAAATTAAACGAACAGATTTAAATATCTGTTTATTTTTTAAAGAAATTTGTTTTCTCATACTATTAATTACACATTCAATATTTTAATTTAAAAACCGGCAAATTACTTAATTAACAAATTTGTAAAAATTAATTTGTCCACCTGAAATACTTTGCGTAACATTCAGAAAAATCTTTTTAGTTGCTCTAAACGAAATAAATTTTATTATCACAATTTTTTTCCAAAAAAAAGTAAGCAACATCTGATTCTGTCAGTGGAATAATTTCCAAGTAGACTAAATGTGAGAGGTAAAGAGACGAACAGATTGTGAGCGTTATCAAACTGGTTTAAGCGCATCAAGCGGTAAAATATTTAACTTGGTTTATCTCTACAACCGTCTGCGCTACTGTGTATGATTGAAGTACAGCATGGTCAGCAAAATTATATATTTTCATATTATTTTAAATTAAATTATGAGGTAGTCTTTTATACGCGTAACACTTTGCTTGACCGACAAATTCCGTCCATCATTTCTGTTTTTAATTAATTTTTTCTCTCGTTCGAGCAGCATTGTTAAATATCAAAACGTGTCATAAAATTAGGTCGTTCGTTTTTAAAACCGCAATAATCATGCTATAATTAATAATTCCGTAATTGTATGAAAATCGAGATCAATAATTTCGACGAAATAATATGACGACGAAAATTTCGCTTGGATTATCTCTCACTTTTACGGTCGATGGCGCCTCTCTAAACATCGCATAGATAACTCGGTAAACGGGGACCTTATCATCATCGCCAGGTATTATGTTCGCTCGCGAAGAATACGAGCAAGAGATACGCAGAAAGAACAAGATTATATATATATATATATATATATATATATATATATATGTATATATATTGTATACATAGTCAGAAAGAGAAGAGCGAGCAGGTAGACGCAGCAAGCGCAAAGGTGAGAAAGAGGTAGAGAAGTGGTTAGCGGGTATGGGAGAAAGAGAGAGGCGAACAACTTCACAAACCTGCATTCCTCTACTCTGCTTTTTCAAACGCGTACTAGCCGCTGCATCGAGAGACCGGCCACACTCGCGGTGCATTCAAGTTCGACGCGAGCCGTTTACGCGCGCACGCATAATGCAACTCGGGCGAGCTCAATGAAATTGCGATCGCGATCGTCTTCCACCGTTGCGAAATCGTAAGTACAACGCGAACGTGAATACGCCCATCAGAATGGAATCCATAAAACTAGAAGACGGCGCGAGCATACGTGAGTGCGTCAGAACATATGTAATCTTCATTTTCACGTGTCACGTCAGTCAGAGATTTATAGCAGTGCGCGAATGGATATGTCAGCCGCGTAAACGTTTTACGTATCGTAAAATTACATTGGACATGATTTATATATTCTGTGTACACAGAGATCGAAAGAAACGCTGTCAGTTTCGAGAATTGTAATAAGTGAATCGACATATTAATTAATATAACAGAAATTAAACGAGAATATGTATTATCACGCGAGCAAATATGCACCTCGTTCTAATAAAGTCGCTTTGAAATTGCTTTCTTCTAATGATCAACTCCGACTAATCGACGTCGAGCGTGTATTTATCGGCGCTATTGGTGTCCGATTAAATCGCGTTTTATTGCTCATTCGTGAATTTATTACAGTTCTAAATTTTATCACACTTGTTCCACACCTTCGTCCACATTATATGTGTCTGTCCGTTGATTTC